AGATAGGTCGTTAAAATCAAATATTAGAATGAGCAACAAAACTTTGCAAATGTTTAACTAAGTTATGTGCATAACTGTTCTGCTATAAATAGTCTCCCCAAATCTTTGGAAATCATCGAGGTAATTAAATGTTTGCCTTAATCTCTGCCAGATCAGACCTCCGATTCACTTCTCAAAGTCTATTATGAAGACATTTGCCAAAATGCTTACCGCTCAACCGATGCCCTCTGTTTATAAATTTCACAACCAGGGTGCATACCGAGGGCAACATACCTCAACCTCCATGTTGGAAAACTCCCAAAGGTCCAACCAGATTGTGCTATGCCTTTCTATAGAGCCTGGCACATCTGGAGCATGGCCGTACCAACGCCAAGCAGTAGGTTTTGTTCTTTAGCATGAAGAGAAAACACAGGAATGGTCTTGGGTAGTCTGAGCAAGTGATGAGGTCTTCAGGCTGTGCTTGCCAGAAGAGAGCCTAGAAGTTAGCATAATGCATGGCCAGGCACTGGCCACATTAACTGACTGTCCAAGTGCTCACCGCCTGCTGAGAAGGCTAGGCAAAGCTTAGCTGCCTAACCCTGCCACTTCAGACCTTGCGAACATATCCTTGTTAGATAAGAGGAATTTTGTATTAGTCTATTCCCCCCAAAAAAAGTCGAAGGAAAGAAAAGCAGGGGGGAAAGGTGATGGAGGTGCCTTAAAGTGAGGTGATATGAAATATATTTCACTGACATTCAGTTTTATTAGATTGATTGTATGCCCAACGAATATGGTCTAAGAACAGTGTGGATCTGTAGAAATGTTTAAAATACTCTAAAATACTTTAGAAATATTCTGCATTTAACTTGTTTGCAAGTTATCTGAGTCTCATATATCTCACCCCCTGTACAACCTACATTTTTTTTCCTGAGCATTTCACTGTGCTGCAACTGCCTTTGGCTTTGGCATTCCCTGGTTCACGTGAGTACAATAAGACAATGAATCTACTCTGTCATGTTATAAGGATGCATGAGTCATCCCTTAATAAAGAAAAAGACAATAGCCTTTGACTTATTGCATTGTGCCCTTTGTAGCTGCCACTCTACAGTGTTGTAGGATGATTGGTGTAGTTTTGAACCAAGAACCTGAGCTAAGAATAGTAATAATTCAGGCTTTTACTGAACTGACAAAAAGCCTTGAAAGAGAAATAAAACTACCACAAGTCTTTTAAAATGAGAATTAGCAGAGCACTTAAGGAAAAAATTATTAAAAAAAGAAAATGTAAGAGTAGATGTTAGTTATTAACAACCGTTATTTGTATTTACTAAGAGCACTTTAATTACTTTAATGACTTTTGACCTAAAATTGAAGATTTGATGGATAGATGGAGGAGACTCAGCTTACATAACCAAAGAGTGGTGGGGGAAACTTTAAACCTTAGTGCAAATATGATAGTGTAAATACCACTATAGTGACACTCATATCTTTTCTATTAATTCACCAGTATTTAAGAGGGGGAAATTATGTAGGTTGTAGTTTCATGATAACAGAAATTTATTATAGCCCTTTGATTACTCCACATACTTTGGTTTTATACATTAAGTACTTCTGAATCATTAAACTTTCATCTAGTTCAGTCCTCAATGTATAGCCTTTTACCTTTGTTCTTCTTCAGAATCTTTCCACAGAAAAATTTCCCCCGGCTGTATGCAATTACATTATCACAGTGGTAAGTCAAAAGACACTGAAGTCTTCTCTAGGTTTTTTCCCCTGGGAACTTTTGAACATGTTCCAAAGCAAGAGGCTGTGACAGTAGCTCAGTTTGCCCATTCACAGCTCTAATTACACCTAAGCAGATTACCCTTGCTTTCTGCACTATCCTAAGCTATTAAATGTTGCCATAAAGGTACCAAAGGTCTGTTGACTCAAGTGGAGGTGCCCTGAGAGCAGCCATTGAAGTCTATTTCCACCTGCCTTGGCCACAGTCCAGGGTCAGCCTTGATGACACACAGTCCAGCGCTAAGGATGAAAACGCACTTTCCAGAGACATGAAAGCAAAGCTGCTCTGCAATGAGGGCTCCGATGAGGTGTGCTCCACTGTCAACAGCATCACGCTCTGCCTCTGCTGTGCCCCATCTTGTGCTGTGGTCACCAGAGGTGCAGCAGGAGAGCAGCCCGACTCGTGCAGGCAGCCACAGGCAGCGGACAAGGAAGCACAGCACTTCTTCAAGGCACCATCTTCTTCAAAGATCTTTCCAGAATCCACCTTCTGATGGCCTGGCACATGAGGATCTCCCGGTATCTCAGTCCAGCTTGCACTATCCACAATATGTAGCTGTTTGGGAAAACAGGTGGAGGAGAAGACTTGCAGTTGGCTGATGGCTGTGATAGGGTTTGGCTTCTGAAAGCTGCAGTTGGGTAGTCAAGGCTGATGCCGTGTCAGTTTATACAGCAGTTTGTTCCTAGAGCCCTGTGATGACCAGATGTTATGTGCAACGGTTACCTGGCGGGGCAAATTGTGCTAGGTCACCTCTGCAACCCCCATAGCACTGACCCAGCAGAGCTGTGCCATGCCCCGAGGAGGAGGCAGGGGTGCTGCAGCCTGGAGCAGGAGGGTTGCAGATGGGCATTTGTGGAGTGGCATCCTTTTTGCCATCCTGTGACCACCAAGATGTTTGTGCCACGCAGCACTCCAGGAAGGCACTATGAGCCCCAGTGATGTTCACTTGTTGCTGCTAGTTGTCTTTTTCTCCTGCAGAAATGCAAGCAGATAAATTGGCACCTTTGCCTGATCTGAAGCAGAGCTCTGGTACCTAAAAAAGCTATACTGATTTCATTTGAGCTTATTTATTGGCTAAGAAAAAAACAAAAGAAATACCAAAACTAAACATGGCACTGTTGTTTCCCAGAATTGCTTTTGGCTGACAGTGAAGTGCTAGGTTAGGCTGTACCAGTAATTATACTATCACAGTGACAGCATAATAAGGATTTGTTTTACAGAGGTGCCTGGCTTAGGCAGTAAGTCATAGACATAAGCTGTTATTCAGGACTGATCTCACAGCAGATCTTGACCACAAATAGGATCTTCCCAGATTTTTCAGAACCCAGGTATGTGATGTTCTTGTGTTCTTGCAGGAGAACCCCATATATGAACAACATATTGCTTGGAAAAACTCTTTATTACAGATGATGCTCTTCAAGACAGCAAAACTTTGAGTTCAAATGCAGAGACACTTTCATGAATCAAGGCAGAAATATCAGACTAGAAACACCCTCTTCCTGATTTTTGAAATTACATAATGTATATTGGGAATCAGCCATAACTGAAAATAGCTCAAATATAGCTCATTTTCTCAACAAGAAGGACCTCCCTAAAGAACTAGTCACAAAATATTCAGACATTATGTATGAGGATCCATAT